TTGATATTAATTGGAAATGTAAGTACTTGCAAGTTTTCGACTCAGTTTAGGTAAATGTAACTGAGTTTCTTCTGGGAGTTCAAATATTTACAAGATCTTTCGAACAACAGACAGAAGCGACGATGCGATTTTTTCCCTAAAAGGTATTGCTGATTTATTGCCTGCTTGTAGGCAAAATTTAAACAGAAGTGAAAAATTGGTCGCAATTATTGCTTCTATAAATATAAAGCAGTTCATGGTTTCGCCGAGGCCTAATTGCCGGAAAACTTGGAACAGATTTAATCCAAGCACCCATTGTTCTTCGTAGATGAGCCAAGTGGCTCACACATTTTACCAAAGCTATGCCAGGAAATTGGAGAAAATGTGCGCTTTATTGACTAAAGTCACAGACATTTTCCCTGTCCAGTTCACTACACGCGACCACATTTTGCCTTATCAGATTAATCGGTGGCATTGAAACTAGGAAAAGTTAATTAAAGCATCCGCTAGAGCTCACTTTTAATTAACCCTGGAAAAAATCTGATCTAATCAACTGGTGGTCTATTTGTGAACAAGCCACTTCTTGCTGCTGAACAGTGCTTTACAAAGTAGCAGGCCTAGAGAGTACCGTTCTATTGCGAGTCCCATGAAACCATGAAATTTAGCATTTCTTCTTTTGTTTTGTCTAACGAAAACCACGATGTTGGCGAGCGCAGAAAGCGACAAAAAAAACATGTTCGCTTATGCAACATTGACTGACCGCTATTGCCAAGTTCATTTAGTTGGCCGTCCAGCTTCACTGTTTTATTTACTATTCAACAACATAAATTTTGAAAATCGGTCCAAGAGCAAAAAGTTGATTTTTTGCATCACCCTGTAAATACAAGAGATAGGGGGAAAATTGTAAAACCGTTTTGAGCTATGAGCTGTGATGCCTTTGATGTTGAAATCCAAAAAGCCGTTTGCAACGGATGCATGGGACACGGGCTTTATACCTCAGATTAAACAGATGCATTTGTTCAAGTTTTTTATGGAAGCAACATTGATTCACAGTCTAATATGCCGCTTATTGACCGTAAGGCTCTTATTTGGCCCGATTGTGCACTAACTGGCCCACTGCTTGACCAGGGATTTTGATAGTGCAAGCCACTGTGTTGGAACCTTAGATTACACGGATGCATTTGTTTATTTTTCGATGAAAAGTAGGTACTTATAAGAGCTGCTTTGCCGGCTCGGTATTCAATTTGAATATACATGAGTGGCATGAACGAGAAAATAGCAGGAAAACGGTAGCCCTGAATATATGTAGTGTTATATTTGCGTAGTTTGTAATAAGTGACAAGCAAATGCCATTAAAATAACAGCGTCGATATTTTATATTAAAAAATTTATCAGAATTTTCGGTAGTAATTACCGGAAAACATAAGGAAACATTCATCGTGGCAACACCGCAATGAGGTAGTGGTGACAGTGACATGACAATAAGAGGAGAAGATAATTTATTGGGCAAGTAAATACGGCAATTTCTCATGTTTTTGGTGATTTAAAGTGATAATCGTGATATTAGTAAAATGTTGCGCTCAAAAGAAATCGTGCGAAGTGGTTTCATTTGCAGAAATTTTGAGAAAACCGGCCTGAATTTTCCTAACCGGTACGGTTCTGCACGATTGTAAACAGGGACCAGTGGCGTGAGTTGTTTTGAATTTATAAGGTTAGAGCCATATTCGATCCCTATTGAGTCGCTATCAAATGCTTAAAAAAWTTGCGTTACTATTATAGCGTTTATAATTTCAAACAYATAATGTAGAGATGAAGGRCAGAAAATCAATGAATCTTTCATGCTTARAATAAATCGATTAATACARATTTTTACTACGCCTATGGCCAGTTGATTCTACTCTTTGCTCGGTGGGGATGGTGTCGTTTGAGGTTGGCGGAATGTGTAGTTTTGTCCATCCTTACCTTAAAGATGAGCACTTGAATCACGTGAAAATTTTCCTGAAGGGTCCATGAATTAAGCCAAAAACCGTTCACAAACTTCAAAAAAAATCGCCATTTTCAGGATAAATTTCAAGCGGTGTTGTCAAACTGTGCAAAATGTTTTAAGTTAATGAAAACTGTTTCCTTCGATGCCTACCATGTAGATTCATTCAATTGGGGTTAGATAGGCTTCTATAGGCACTAGCTACCATGCTAACACAAACTGAATTAAGTGGTTCATTCATTTTGAAATGATACTTTTTATTCATTGTTACACACAAACTGTTAATAAATGGGTGAAATACGTGGCAACACCGCACTGTTTTGAATTCTCCAAAGAAATATAAACAATCCAGCAACTGGTTATCGACATGCTACATGACACATAACCTCAAGCAAAGACGAGGTCGGAAAAGATGCTCAGACTTTTGCAAAAAACGGAATTATTATGCATTTTCGCGACGATTTTGCACGTGGATTTATTGTGGAGTTACGTGGAGAGCGCGATTTAGCAGCAAATATAATTTTCGTGCATAAATAAGTGGTTTTGGAAAGTCAAATTTCAAAAGTTTGTGAGTGTTTTTTGCCCTAATTTATGGACCCTTCAGGAGAAATTTTCACTGAGAGTGATCTTTAAGGTAAGAGTAGAGACAACTAGAAATTCCGATAACCTCAAACGACACTATCACCTCGGAGGCATATTAGCCCAATTTATTTGCCAATCAATTTGCCAAATTATAGATATGAGCGTAAATCGTGTTCATTCATTCAATCGAATTCATTTGCGAACGATAAATTGTACAATTTATTGCGAGCTTAGAGCATGCTTTGAATTGTAATGGAGTTTTTGAGGTGACGAACGCAAAAAACAGAATAAACTTATTGAAATGTATGGCAGTCTTACTGAAATTGCGCCAATTTCCTAGTCAGAACAATATCTAAGTGAAAATGACCTTTCATAAATTCGCCAATTTATCGGACAATAAATCGGATAAAAGTTTCATCAGGATTCCTAATCTCCTGTTAGTTTGTATCTCCTAGAGAAGCTTGTCTGTACATCTGTATCTGAAGGCGTTTGAAACAATACACTTTTTTGTGGTTTAAAATACTGAATTTCCTTTGGAATCCTAAAAATCTTTCATTCTCTATTTGCAATTCATAAAAAAGTGAAGTTTGTTTCCCTAGTGGATTTAGCCAAACCGATAAAACGGGGTTTTCACGTGTTTCATCAGCTAATAAGTAAACACAGTAAACTGCTTAGCAAGACTGATATGAACGAACGAAAAGTTGACGAATATTGTAGATAATTTATATTTTTATATTAACTTTTTTTTGATCAAACATTTTCGAGAACAGTAGTTGGATCGCTAGCAACACCTCAAGGTAGCACTTCAAAAACATTCACATATACCTACTAATTGCGAGTTTTCTTATAGCTTGCGCATGTAAGTGTGACGCACTGATGATAGACTGTCTATAAAGTTAAAATACGAAACTTATAAATACTTTAGTTTGCGTTCGAGAGCGTGAAGAAATCTCGGGTGTCCAACACCCTTGAAAAGTTGCCTTAAAAACTTCGAGTACTAAAGAATGGATAGTTAAAACAGCTCGTAGTCAAAGAACATGTACAAAGAACCGTATTAAAATAATTACAATTTAATATTCAACAGTCAATTATGATTTAAAGAAAACGTTGCTCGGTTAGTAAGCATTAAACGCTATGATAGTCGTACGTTTGTTAGGCAAATGTTAAATCTGTCGAACAAGGTCAATTTGCATTTAAAAAAATTGCCGGTTCACTTCATTAACTGATATTTAGCCAATGCGTTCTCGGTACCAAATGCGGCGCAATTTTTCAACAGAGTTAGTCAAGGCGAAATCAAGAGGAAAAAATGTGGGGCTCCCATTGTCCCCATTCAAATTATCCGCTTCGTTTAGGCTTCGAAATATGTTTAGGAGAGAATTAATTAAAATTTTTGGCCGCAATTCGATAAACACACCGACGTTGAAAGTAAACAGTTCTATTGCTAATCCATTAATAAATGTTTGCTGCAAATTCGCCAGGGATCAAGCAATTTGCATTGTTTGCCTAATTTCTTGAGTAAATCTCTTACTGATCATTTACCGGGGAAAAATGCGATGTATCAGTAAACATTGAGTTTAGGAGGAAATAGAAGAACTTCGTCAGAACAGTGTAAGCGTTCAAGCAAACCACTTCTGAAGATGCAAGCCACTGGTGCTTGCGAAACGTCAAGAAGAAATTCTATCGAACGACGGCCTAAAAACCCATTAGTTTCAAGGAATGGCCTCGAAAGTCTATGGGTTTTGATCAAAGTATTTTGTTCGGAAGATCGTCTTTTCGGCCTTAAAATCTTCATAACTTTTTCAACCGACTGCAATTGTCCGAGATGCAGTTTTTATAGGAAAACGTACGTTTTTCAACACATTTCCAAATCGGGATCATATTAACAGTTATGCAGAAAATGTATTCAGAGTTTTTCAAAAAAATGCGACTTTAAATCCACAAAGAAAAGTTTGATAACATTTGTCCTGAATTTTTTCGACATTCAAACTCTTCTGATTTTCAAGTTTCTCAACTGATTTCAAGTTCGAAAAAAAAGGTTTTTAGTCAAAATCAATGAGCCAACTCGGGCCCGTTTTAAGAGAGTTACTCATTTATTCATACGGAAGGAATAATCATAATCGCAGTATAATATTCATAATATGCGTGCTTTAGCGTTGGTGTTTGCCATCATAAAAAGTATTTATTTTATCTGTTTAATTCTCTATCCAGTAAAGCGAAACATCAAAATTGTGCCTCATGGATGTGCTATTTTCTGCTCTATCCAGAGAAATTATTATTAATAGTGGAGTTTTTATGAGATTGCACGTTTTGGGGTATAGGATTAAATTGTGCAATTTTATCGCTTGTGAAAACAAGTTTCCAGTTGGTGTGCATTGTTTCCTTCTAAGATTCACGTTCACTTTTGATACAGCGATTTGATTCTCTAATATCAAGCCGGTGTGGTAAGCAGACTCACCTTTTCAGTGATTGGTGTTTTCCTCCATTGATGTTCAATTTGGGTTTTCCTTTATCCGTGCTGGTACTCGTAGGCGTCATGGAACTATGACTTGCCGTCGCCGTCGTATCGCTTACAAAACTACTCACACTCGTCTCTTTGCTGATTGAGGTGGCCGTTTTGCCATTAGATAGAATTTGCGTGCCCGGGTTTCCATTCGTATTGGGATGGTGTCCATTGTGGTTCTGATGGCCGAAAGACAATTGCAGGTGACTTTTTGGCCCTGGAGGAGGTTTCTCCTCCACCGGAAGCATGTAGGAGAGCATGCTAAAGCAGATGGAGGGGCCGCTTTTGGAAATTCACCGTTGCATCCTCTAGCATTAAGACTGGCTTCTGCAAACAACAACAAAATCATACATTTGCTATCTTCATGAAACTCATCATCAATGGTAAAAGCAAAAAAGCGGATCTGTTTAAAGCAAAGAAATGATTCGTAACTGTCATTGTTCTGATACTTTCTAAGCTCGAAAGCATGGCAGCAGTCCCGTTGTCTCCATAAATACGTAACAAAGATTGAGAAACGTTTGGTTGAACGATTAATCTCGGTCACTATCAAATGGTATTCTCATTCAAGCGCCTAAAAATACACCTTAACAGAACGGTTAAATCAGGGCTGTAACTGGAAATTAAAAGCATGGATTTTAACAATGAAACAATGACAATGCTGCGTTCGAAACTGTCTCAACCAGATGGGATTTTAATACAGTAAAGTCCGCTTATAATGGTTATAGTGAACTTTCGGTTAAAACGAACTTTTTTCCTTTAATTGAAACGTCGTTCATAAAGACCAACGTATTTTTTTACTGGTTATAACGAACTTCCGATATAACGATCACTTTTTCGGTTAGTTGTATATTCACTTTCCGTTTATAACGAACTTCCACGCTCAGCAACACCAATCCTGCGGAGTTGTTTATATTAGTGAGAGTTATAGAATGGAAGAATGTAAATCGTTTTAGAATGGAAAAACAAAAACGCAAAGCTTTTTCACTCAATGAAAAGTGCGAGATTATTAACAAAATAAAAAGTGGAGTAAAGCAGAGTGACATTTCTAAGGAATTAGCACTTGGAAAGTCTACTGTTGCAACAATATGGAAAAACAGAGAAAA